CTGCTGCTGCTGCTGCTGCTGCTGTTGCTGCTGCTGCTGCTGCTGCTGCTGCTGCTGCTTTGTACGGGCGGCATTAGGCGCTGCTCCCTGCTGGAGTTTCTGCGAGGGAGCTGCAGTTTTGGATTGGGTTTCCTGCTGCTGCTTCTGCTGCTGCTGCTTCTGCTGCTGCTGCTGCTGCTGCGGCTGTTGCTGCTGCTGCTCGGGCTGCTGTTGCTGCTTGCTGCTGCGGCGCGGTGCTGCCTCCTTTGTTGGTGATGCTGCTTGAGGGGACCTGCGGCTGTTCTTCTTTATGTGGGGCTTCTGGTGCTGCTGCTGCTGCTGCTGCTGCTGCGGCTGCTGCTGCTGCGGCTGGTGCTGCTGCTGCTGCTGGGGTTGTTGTTGCTGCTCCTGTTGCAGCTGCTGCTGCTGCAGCTGTTGCTGTTGCTGCTTCTGCTGCTGTTGCTGAAGCGCCTGCGGATGGCTAACAGACGGCTGGAGGTCTTGCGGCTGCGGTTGCTGCTGCTGCTGCTGCTGCTGCTGCTGCTGTGGCTGCTGCTGCTGTTGTGGCTGCTGTTGCTGCTGCGGCTGCTGCTGCTGCTGCGGCTGCTTGTGCTGCTCTTCCTTATGCTCTTTAGCGGGTTGAATAGTGTCGTTTGTGTCGTGCTGCTGCTGCTGCTGTTGCTGCTGCTCCAGCTGCTGCTGCTGCTGCTGCTGCAGCTCCAGTTGCTGCTGTTGATTTTGCTGATGCATGTTTTGTTCTAGTAGCCGAAGGTGTTTCAGCTGCTGCTGCTGCTGCTGCTGCTGCTGCTGCTGCTGCTGCTGCTTGTGTGCGTTGATGGCTAGGTGCCTCAGATTGAGTGCACTGGAGCTGTTTCTGAGTTGCTGCTGCTGCTGCTGCTGCTGCTTCTGCTGCTGCAGCAGCAGCTGCTGCACCGCATCCGCCTGGGTGTGTTGCACAAGCAGACCTGCCTTTTGGCTTGCTGCAGCTTCTGCTGCTGCTGCTGCTGCTACTGCTGCTGCTGCTGCTGCTGAAAGGCCTTCATGCGTCTGTAGAGCTGCAACCATCGAAACACAGACAGGGGGCGCTGCTGCTGTGTTCTGCTGCAGCAGCAGTTGCTGCTGCTGCTGCTGCTCTTGCTGCTGCTGCTGCTGCTGCTGCTGATGCTGCGGGATCTGCATGTGAGGCTGCTGCTGTGGTTGGTATTGGAGGCATTCAGGAGGAAGTATTTGCTGCTCCAGGTGTTGCTGCTGCTGCTGCTGCTGCTGCTGCTGCTGCTGCTGGTGTTGCTGCTGCGGGTGGTGTTGCTGAGGGTGCTGATGCTGCAGATGTTGCTGC